CGGAAGGAGAACCTTAAGCTTCACACAATTCCGAAGCGCGCTAGAACTCTACCGAATAAATGTGATTACTCACTTTCATTAGACAGGACGAGTGATTCTGTTGATTTTAGCACCTTTTGTTCAAAAATTTGTCACAAAAAAAAACAAACGCGCCAGTCAAAATCATAAGTAGATAGAGGATACCTGAAACTGTCAGGAAAGGTGAATACTGAAACCACCACTTCTCTTTTTCCTGAGGTCTGTGGAATCGGGAGGGAAGTCCTTCTTCGGGAGTTCTAGCGCGCTGCGGAATTGCGGGATGCGACTACGCAAGACTATATTAGTCATGTCGTAAGCTATTATTAAGATGTGATCAGATTTTGAAAATTTTTCGAAAAATCAGTAAGAGTTATATACTAGGCGCGTAAGCAAAACAAGCGGTGAATACGATTCGCATGGGAGACGCGATGCTCTTATCATGTCGTGATCGTAAGAGAAAAATACGATCTCGACGTGACAATTTTTTCTTACAGCGATTGCGCTCGGATCGCGAAGTCGCACCGCGATCGCTAAAAAGTCTCTATTGTAGCGTCGCGATCGCGAATTACAAGCTTTTTGTAAAATAAGAGTTGGTCGCGAACGCGCCACGACAATAGGGACTTCTTAGTGATCTCGGCGTGATTGTAGCGCGATCCGGGTTTGTGCCGCGAATCAAGCAAGAAAGTGGACTTGGGTAGGGAACATCAAGGTGCAATACAAAGATAATGAACACAGGAACGGAACTAACTATCGTGCGACTAACTATCTGGCTTTCACAAGTTTTAAAGCGTGTAAGATATAAAAGCACACGTGGAAAAGCACATTGATTGTGCCGGCTCGAGACTATTTTTTTGTTCTATATAGAAGATTTCCCTGGTGAATACGTAATGGACGTAATCTCGGAGGACAGTTTTTTGGAGTAGATATTTTGTATGATGACGTTGTTGATACTTTTAATCACTAAAGGTGAAAACTTCATATAGCGCATAAAGTTTGTTGTACGACTGATAATCGAGACTAAAGTTTCGGGTATCGAAACATTTCGAGGCTCGAGACTACAGTATCAAAGCTGCTCGAGACTTCTCGTCTCGGTGCATGCCTACGTGTGGGTCTGATATTTATTCTGCAATTAGAGATAAAAAACTATCCTTGATTACTTCAGAATATAAACTTGTTCTATTCATATATCTGTTATATTGTGTTTCAGGGATGAGGAAGACGACATACAAAACAAGCAATCGAACGCAAGAGACTTTATAACTGTTCAAATTTGTGAGGCTAGACGATTAGTAGCATCAGGACTAATTTTTATGACAATCGATTCAAAAATGTCTCTTGATAAATTGACAGATTATATTTTTGAATACAACAGGCCACGCTCTTCTTCAACTGAAAGTATCAGCTTGTCAATATTTAAAAATAATGAGTATTGAGTATGCCTCACTCACATGTTTTTGCCAACATCGGCACTCATTAATATTGGTCTCTGTAACAACTCTATTATTAGTCTCGATAAAACTAATTCGAGATTAGGGTTAGGTGGTTTAAGTAATCTTGGCAATACATGTTTTATGAATAGCGCATTACAGTGTTTAAGTAATGTACCACAATTAACAAAATATTTTCTCACATCACCGACTAATAGCGGTACCCATGGGGAAATTTTAGTAGGTACCGCGGTGTGTACACGCGTGAATATCGTAAAATGGTGTGTGGGCACGTGTGAAAAATATATTCCACGTGTGACACCAGGTGAACTGGTTATGAAAACGTTTCGCGTCATATTTTTCGCACGTGATCACAGGTGAAAGTCGTGAAGTGTGTAGCGGCCACACGTGAATTTCTCATGTTAAAATTTCCGTAAAAAATATCACTTGCGGACACGCGTGAAAATGATTCCCAATAATTTCATTGTGAAAAATATCTTCACATTTATTCGCACGTCAGTGTTTCATGCAACTCATTTCGTGAATAATATTCACGCGTAACCCCAAGCGACAAAATTCTTACGTTTCACGCACGTCCACGTGTGAAACCTTTTACAGGTGTGAAATGTCGGGAAGATTGAGCAGCAAACATAAATACAAATTTCTCCTATATCTTTCGAAAGTTGTACATACATACAGATGAAAACCTTTCTTGTAGACCGAAGGTATTTTCTGTAGGAATATGCCTGGGAATCATCTTATTCCCCGGAAGGAAGTATTAACTAAAATAGTTTGGAAAAGTTGGAAACTAAGAAAAAAGATTTAGGAAGTTCACGAGTAATCACGCGTGAGAACTTTTTTACACGTGGTAACTCGTGAAGACAATTTAAAACTTCCCTAAGGAAAAATTCAAATATTAATTTCACGTAGGAGAAAGTCAAATTTCATCTTTTCCTAGATTTTTAATGAAAAGTTAATTTTAATTTCGTCTAGGAAAACTTTAAATT